GAGTGCTGAGAAACAGGAATAGCAGCTGATCAACCAGTACGAACGAGGTACTGACAAAAGTACAGGGCAGAAAATTCGACCCTGCCTTGCTTGTGCTTCCCAGGACATGGGAACCTGGGGTTAACTGAGGTCATTATAAAACTGGATGATGGTATGCCATCTCCTTGCAGAAATGTGGCCATGGATTGAAGAATTGATGATTTATAACCACATTTGCTTAAAATAGCAGTTTTCAAACTCATCGTTCATTAGGGTAACTGGTGTTATTTGGATTCAGTTCAAGTAAAAATTTTTCTTTAAATTCACTGTCAGGGAAAAATTCGGGTCTATAAGATGTATTTATATTCTGCTTTTCCTCAAGCAGTGACTAAGTAAAATCCAGGGTGGTTTTCTGTTGTCTTTTTGCACTAGCTGTCTGCAAGCCAGGAGTAAAAGTTAGCATTGAACTGTGGAAACCAGTTTAAGGAGGCATCTTGTATAGTACCTCTGTTCCCTTGTAATTTATTTTTTTAAATGTGTGTCCTGTCTCAGTTGGAGAGGAAATGGAGCTGCACATGTTTCTCTGTCCCCCCAAACCACAGCAGTCTAAACAAAATAAAGAGAAAGCAGAGTGATTTAAAAAGATTTATCGATTATCCTAAAACTCTAATTTCTGTATCTTCATCTTCAAGTTGGATTATGATTTTGTGGGGGCTTTTTTTAACTAAAAAAAAAAAAAAATCTTTGATCATTAGCACACCACCGATAGTTTAGCAACTGTCCTGAGTTTTGAAATTCTGACCTTTCTTTGTACTGAATGGAAAAAGTGAGTGAGTTGATCATTTTTTGAGAATTTTGTAGCCGTTTTAAAAAACCTTAGGTTCTGCCTTCAATGCACGGGAGCAAAGAGGCAAGACCGTGTCGAATGCTTTCGTGTCGCCCCTGTGGCACTGCTGACAGCTGCTCCCGGCCATGTCTGGGCTCCACTTCTTGCCAGGAGTACGGGAGTACGGGATCCCACGCACTCTCTCTCCACCTAGTCTTCCCGGTTATTTCTACTTTGCACTTAACGATCATTCAGAACACGACATGATTTGCTCACCTTCCGGCCTCATTTGTGGGATGGTCCTCAGACTCACAACGTATTTTAATTAAGTATATTTTTGGTGAATATATTTTGATTGTCAGGGAAAGCTCAAACTTCAGAACTATTGTACGTTCATCACATGTACAGTTCCTTATTTTCAAAATGTTAAATAATGTCTACATTGTATTCCTAATACCTCATATTTCCCTAATTTTTTTTAAGTTTTAAAGGATGTATTTCTATATGCTCAATATTTGCTGTCAAGAATGTTAGATAGTATATTTTTTCTCTTTATTTTGTTTTACATGAAATGAAGTTTTACGTATGAAAAACTATTTTAGACTTTTTTTAATGTTTAATTTAGTCAGCTTATAATTTGGCAAGTTTTCTGGCTGAAAGGAAAAAAAATATTAGTCTGCATACATTGTTCTGTTTAGTAAGACGTACATCTTAATAAAGCTCCCTTATATTGTCCTATGATCTTTATGTTTTTACCGTGTATGCATTTTTTTTACTGTGGTCAAAAGCACACAACATAAAATTTACCATCTTAACCGTTTTGAAGTGTACAGTTCAGTCATGTTCAGTATATTCACATTGCTGTGGAATAGATCTATAGAACTTTTTCAAACCCCAAACCAAAACTCTATCCAGGCATCCTCAAACTACGGCCCGGCCCGAGGGCCACATGTGGGCGTTTTTGCATTTGTATTTTTACTTCAAAATAAGATATGTGCAGTGTGCATAGGAATTTGTTCATAGTTTTTTTTAAACTATAGTCCAGCCCTCCAACGGTCTGAGGGACAGTGAACTGGCCCCCTGTTTAAAAAGTCTGAGGACCCCATGAACTCTCCTTTTTCCCCACTCCTCAGCCCTTGGCAATTACCCTTCTTCTTTCTGTATCTGTGGATTGTTCTATTGTAACTACCTCATAGGAGTAGAGTCATACAGTGTCTGTCTTTTTATGACTGCTTTGCTTCACTTAGCACAGTGTCCTCAAGGTTCATCCACGTTGTAGCATGTGCCAGGAACTCCTTCCTTTGTAAGGCTGAATAGTATTCCACTGTGTGCATATTCCACATTTATTTATCCTGCATCTGGCAACGGATATTTGGGTTTCTTCTACCTCTTGGCTATCGTGAATGGTGCTGCAGTGAACACGGTGTGCAGATATTTCTTCAAGACCGTGCTTCACATCCCTTTGGATATATACCCAGAGTCGGGATTGCAGATCCTATGGTAGTTCTGTTAGTGTTTTGAGGAAAGTTCATACTATTTTCCACAGCAGCTGCGCCATTTTACATTCCCACCAGCAATGCATGGGATTCCAGTTTCTCCACATCCTCACTAACATTTGTTATTTTTTGCTTGTTTATTGCTATTTTTTTTAACAGTAGCCATCCTAATGGGTTTGAGGTGATATCTCATGGTGGTTTTGATTTTCAGTTCCCTGATGATTAGTGATGTGGAACATCTTTTCATATGCCTATTGGCCATGTGTGTATCATCTTTGGAGACATGTCTATGCAAGTCCCTTGCCCATTTGAAAATCAGGTTATTTGATTTTTCTGTTGTTGGGTTGTACGAGTTCTTTATATATTATGGATATTAGCTCTTATCAGACATATGATATGCAAATATTTTATCCCATTTTGTAGGTTGCCTTTTCACTCTGTTGATGTGTGCTTTGATGCACAAAAGTTTTAAGTTTGATGCAGTCCCATTTGTCAAATTTTGCTTTTGTTGCCTGTGCTTTTGGTGTCCTATCCAAGAAATCATCACCAAATCTAATGTCACAGAGCTTTTTCCCTATCTTTTCTTCCAAGTGTTTTATAGTTTTAGGTCTTTAATCCATTTTGAGTTAATTTTTTTTTATATAGTATAAGAGAAGGGTCCAGATTCATTCTTTTGCATGTGAATGTGCAATTTTCCCAACAACATTTCATAAAGAGACTGTTCTTTCCTTACTGAGTGGTCTTGGCACCCTTCTCAAAAATCATAGACCACGTAAAGGTTTATTTCTAGGCTTTTCTATTCTATTGGTCTGTTTGTCTGTCTTTATGCCAGTGCCATATTGATTTGATTATTGTAGCTTTGTAATATGTTTTGAAATCAGGGAGTGTGAGTCCTCCAACTTTTTTCTTTTTGATCTGTACTTTATAAATTACACAATGAATACTTTTGTTAATATCTGGTGGGAAGTCACTGTATTATATATCCTTTGGACAGATTTTCATAGTCATATGAAAATAGAAGTTGGAACATTTACTGACTGTATCTGGGCAGTTGTAGTAACATATCTGGATTCAAATGCAAATTTTGCTTCTACCATAAATTATATAGATTTGCTACTACATTATCCAATTTGGCAAAGTAATTACATCTACCTGTCTTTATAGGCGTGATCCATAGTTAGTCTCCATGTCACTATTTTTGTCATATAAAAGAAAGAAATTACACATACGAAGAAAACACTTGAATTCCCACAATCACTTCAATTCCCAACCAAGTCACTGTTAATATTTTCTATATAATATCTTCCAAATGTTTCTTGTTGTAAATATGTACACATACATTTTTATCTGCATAGGTTAAATAATCTGAAAAAAATTCATATGAAAGTGTGTTTGTACAAAATAGAATCATATACACTTCTCTTTTTTTTCATTTAATGATATTTAATGAATTTTAAAAATGTGTATGGTAGACCTGAATCATCATTTCTAAAGCCACCTTCTATTCCATTGCCTTGGGTCATGGGGATTGTGCCTAATTAGCTTTTTTCTTTTATATGCAATGCTGTGATTGTATTCTTATGCATACAGCTTAACCCAGTTGATTTTTTTATTTAGGATAAATTTCTACATATGAAATTATTGGATAAAGAGTATAAACTATTTTATTGAGTTCTAATTACAATTGCTAAATTGCCCTCCTAAAAGTGGCAATTTGTATTCCCACTGGTGATGTATACATGTGTCTATTTGCCTACCCTCACACCAACACTCTCCCAACTTTTCAAGTAAAAATGCTGTATTTTCACTTCAGCTTATATTTACTTGATTAGTAATGAAGTTAAATGCTTTCATCTTAAATTTAAAAAATTTTAAATTCCACCTTGCTTTTTAGTTTTAATTTTGAAATTTAAAAATTATAAAATGCTCTTCTTTTGGGAATGAATGTTCTTTGCCTATTTTTCAATTACAGTGTTCGCTTTCACCATCATGATTTTTACATTTTACCCTATAGGCTTAAGATTCAGACAATACTATATAATCAGAACAATTGTTCAATTTTCATTTGCCCATTAACTATGTTGATGGTACTTTATTTGTTTATTTTTGATCTTCAGATGTCTTTAATGTCCTTCTCTTCTCTTCTCTTCTCTTCTCCTCTTCTCTTCCCTTCCCTTCTCTTCTCTTTCATCTGTGTATTTAGTCAAAACTTCCACTCTGCCTCCTTGGTTTCTTGTCATGCCTAGAAAGACATTCCCATATCAAGATTGCATGAAAATCTCTATACATTTTCCCATTGCTTTTAGGGTTTGCTTGGCAGGTCCATGATTCCAAGTGTTAAAAACTAGCATTTTGTTTACTAGGCGTTCTGCAATTTAAATTACAATAGAAATGCCAAAGCCTACTGATTTTATAGTATCCAGTATTCCCACCACAGCACATAAAAATTACGGGCTGCGGAGACTCTGCGAAGTTACATTTAGTGGAACTGTTATTTCCTACGTGTTCGCTGCCTGCTCAGAAAGGTCCTAAGGGTGCCTCTGAGACACTGTTATAGTGAAGCCTTTGGGTACCTTTTTGTTTTTAGCCATGGAACTGGTAAAGGAGACTGCTGGAAATTGATAACATAACTCTTGCTTGCTCCAACTGTAAGCTTAGATGGAAAAGCTAACCAGGAGTGTTTTCCTCTTCTCTTCCAGATTTTACAGGAAGACAAAGCTGGTTGGTTTTCAAGACATGGAGTGCGTGCCCTGTGGAGACCCTCCGCCCCCTTACGAACCACACTGTGAGTGAACGCGGTACAAACAGAGCCCCAGGGACAACTGGCCCTTTTAAAATCTTTTTAATTTTTAAGCCTGTCTTCAGTTGGCACATGGAGCAAAATCTGTCTCTCCTGTGGAGTTTACAGTGTGTACCCTTTTATCAGTCTTCCAGCGGGACATAAAGCCCTTTTGTTGTGCGCCTCCATCAGCAAACTGTGCCCGTTGATTTGAATCTCAAAGTGAAACGCAGACGTTTGCTGCTGCTCTGCTCCATTCAAATTCTTATCTCTCCTTCTAGATATATAAAGCAGGAAACTCCAATTAACCAGGAGGTCCAGAGCTTAATGTGGAATATCCTTGGGCCACGGCCCCGTGAATTCCCGGTGTACCCTTTTTAGTTCCCAGACGTAATCATCTGGTGGCATCTCTCTTTGCCTTTCCAGAAAAGCTCCTCTCCGTAAATCACCTCTGCCTTGTTAATGGATCATTGAGTGGAATTTTAGTTCACTCCATTCATTTTTGCATTTTTGTCACTTAACAAGTAAATGAGAAGAGGGAACTCATGCACGCTGGGGATACAACTGTTAAGTGACAAAGTCGTGCCTTTTCCTCTTTACGTTTTCCTCTTTAGGTTATTGCTCCTCTTTATGATCTTTTTGACCATGTATTTTCCTTAGATGTAAAAGGCATTTGCTACAAGTGATCAATCTGCATTGATTTTGAATAGGAAAAAATGGCTGCTCACTCTTCTTAATGCCAGGTTGGAACCTGGCCAGTGAATCCCCTTGGGGATGGGACAGGGAGGGAGGCAGCAGGAGGCAGCAGGAGCTCCTGCTGGCCAGGCAGCACGCTTGTCTGTGCCCACGCAGGGCGTTGGTGATCTGTGCTTCAGGGTACACAAGAAACAGCTGGGTCCAGGAGAGAGGCTGGAGGAGGGAAGGAGCTTTATCACTGCAAAGGTTGCTCATGCTTTTCTGGGGAGCACTGTTTTCATATAATTTCCAGTGTATGGGATCTGCCTATGCTTCTCTCTCTGACAGAATTCCCCTCTGAACCGCTTAAAAGTTAGTGCATCAGTCGATAAAGCCGGTTGGCACTTCTCAGGGATGCCATGGAATTTTGCAGCCCATATTATTGTGCCCTTTACCAAAATGCATTGCTTTCTCTTCTTCCTTTAAAGTGATAGAAAAGCAAAAAGTTGGAAGACTTTCAACCTTTTATTAAAAAGACATATCGATTATATAAAATGTATATTCTTTAAAATATAAAATATTTATATTTTATAACTTTTGTAAAAAAGATATATCGATCTTGATTTTTAAAATAGGCTAACATTCACCACGTACTCCACTGCAGTTAACGAATGCAGTGTCGAGTGCCTGTTACGGCTCGGTCACAAGGCAGGTGCTTTACTTACTCTTCTCAATAATCCTATGGTCGGCCTGACTTGTGCCTGAAGACGTCAGTCCAGAGAGGGTGGCTGGGAGAGGGCAGAGGCAGTATTCACGTCCCAGTCTGTCTCGCCCCAGATAGCGTGCTCTTCCTCCACCCCGGCTGTGCTCTACGAAAACCCAAGCCCTCCAATCTGTCCTACATGGTGACATTCGTTACCATATTGTGTTATTTGTTTTAACATTCATCACTCACTTAACAAAAATTCTCAAAATCTAACATGTGAGAGACATTGAAAGAGCATCTTTACGCGGCTACGCAGCCCATAAAAGGACATGTCCTCTTGCCGGCTGAAAGCCCAGCCACCCTTTTGTCAATAAGGCAAGTTACGATTACGTACTTTATCCCAAACTACCGTACAGAGATTCAGGAAAGAGGCCAGTCTTGCCCAGTCTGGAGTGGGAAAGTACTAGGAGGTTTTTTTTTCTCTTTAATTTTGGGGGTTTAAGTTTAATATAATCCAGTCAAATGTCTGAGGCTTTGGAATTTTTTGACTTCAGGGTTCTGGCTAAGCTTAAATGTCACAAATTTGCCTCTGAAGGTTGATCTCACATGTAACTTTTAGTGTCTCGTGAAGTTCTTAGTAAGTTGCGATTTTGAAAAGAAAACTTATATATATAGACATATATATTTCTGCATATATAAAACTTTTTAGAAAGCAAAGAAAAACAGATTATTTGTCAAAGTCAAAAACGCAGTGTGCGTAGCAGCTAACAGTCTTTCAACTCATAAAGGGAGACAGTCCGGCGGTCTGTAGTGAGCGTTAGTCCTTATCTCTAGAAAGAAAGTTTGCTGCCTTTGGCACGGTTCTTGAGAATTATTCCAGAACACAACTAATCTCCTCAAAGGAGATTTAAAGTCTTCTGTGGAAATTATGGAAGGCGCCTTATGTTTTCATTGCTTCTACTTTGGGCTTTTAAAACTCATCCACAAAGCACTGCTGTTTCAGAGGTCTCTCCTCCCCCTGAGAAGTTCCTGCACCGTTTTGCTTCCCAGCTATAAGAAAGCGATGCCAGCCAGCCGGGCGCGGTGGCTCACACCTGTAATCCTAGCTCTCTGGGAGGCCAAGGCGGGCGGATTGCTCGAGGTCAGGAGTTCGAGACCAGCCTGAGCAAGACCCCACCTCTACTATAAATAGAAAGAAATTAATTGGCCAACTAATATATATAGAAAAAATTAGCCAGGCATGGTGGCGCATGCCTGTGGTCCCAGCCACTCGGGAGCCTGAGGCAGCAGGATCGCTTGAGCCCAGGAGTTTGAGGTTGCTGTGAGCTAGGCTGACGCCACGGCACTCACTCTAGCCTGGGCAACAGAGTGAGACTCTGTCTCAAAAAAACAAAAAAGAAAGAAAGTGAAGCCACCCAAGCTAAGGCAGATAATGGTGCCTATTTCAAGGACACATGCAGTAGTGGGAGAGGCTGGGATTTCCCAGAAGCCAGGGGAGCCCTCACTGGGGGTCCCAGAGGCTCTGGAGTCTGGGGGCTCGGAGCCCCCCTGCAGCGGGGGCCTCGCAGCTGCCGTCCGGGCTGCAGGCCAGTCCGTGTCCCAGTCCTTGCTCCCACTCTCCCCTATGAGACGGAGTGACACCTGAGGCCAAGGCCGCTGTCGGGACGAGATGAGACCCATGTGAGTTGCCTGGCGCTCTGCCTGGCAGCTGGCAGAGTCTTGGATCTCTTGGTTCTCTTCCTTGCTCCTTCCAGCGTGCAATGCTTAGCTCCGCCTTGCTGGCGTTCTGGGAGAGCTGTTGTGTCAAGGAGCAGGTGACTGCCTGGGAGGTGTGGTTCAGAGAAGAGCAGTGACATGCCGCTGGCCCACGCACACACTGCTCCCAACAGGGAACGGCGCAATGGGAGACAGAGGAAGGCTCAGCCACCAGAGAACAAGTACATTCTCCATGGCTTAAATGGCAAAATATAAGATTCTCCTGTCCTAGGGTAGACCTGTGCTCCCCACAAAGCGATTGAAACGAAGAGTTCCTGTCCCGACTCTGTGTTGTGAGAAGTGCTGGGGGTGGGGGGGGCTTGGAGTCAGCAGAACACTGCGGGGGCCTCGGCCCCATGTTCTGGATTCACACCTTAGACTGGCCTGGTACTGAGGGTTTAACCTTGGACAAATCATCTCCCCTCTCTGAGCCCCCACTTAGTGTCTGGAAAATGGGGATAATAATGCCCATGTCTGCAGATTGTGGGTGGAAGTAGATGAACTGGCAGCCAGTGACGTGGTACTGGCCTCAGAGTGAGCTCCAAGGACCGCCCACCTGCTGGCTGCCATTCTCCCAAAGGACGGCCCCACCTGGCCTCTGTCCCCTGGGCCCCGGCACCTGGTGTTGGGTTGGGGGTTGCCCCACACTGGGGGCCTCTCCTGATGCATCTGGCCCTGGTGCTATCTAGCCGGGGCTTCACCAGCACTGGTGGGTGAGCAAGGGTGGAAAGGAGCTGTCGTGGAGCTTTGTGTCTGGCTAAGCTGGGAGGCTGGAGAGACCTGGCTTAGGCTGGTCTCTGTCCTCTTTGTCCCTTTTGAGGCCTCGAGCCCCACCCCCACCAGATGAGCACTAAGCCCCGCCCCCCCAGTACAATGGATTTGTGATAATCAGTTCACCCATAACCCCCTTGTCAGGTCATTAATGGCATTAATTTAATAATGACTGCTTGGGCAATGGGCATCAGGTTGATTAGTGACACTCCTACAAATTGCAGATAAATACAAGTTACCCTTTATGCAGAAGTCCCTGCTGCAGGCTCTGATCCTCACGTGTCTTCAGTCCTAGCAATGCGAACCCATTAAGGAGAAAATCCTGCCTTGGGTTTGATAAGAAATGCAGATTTTGTATGATTTCCTTCAGCAATGTTTACTTAATTGGGAACAAATACTGTGGTTGGAGCGAATGGTTTTGAAAACATTCAACGTGGTTTTCACCCGTGGTTTTCACCCGAGTATGACTTTATTTAAGGATGTTTAAACCTAGATGTTTGCTTTGTTCTAGGGGGCTTTGTAAAACAAGCCACGTGATTATGGAGAGATAAGCGATCAGATAAATCACAGCGTGGGGGAAAGGAGAGCCGAGCTGCCTTGACCTTTAGCTATTTAGGAGTTTTACGCTCACAAGACAGCAGTTCTTTGTACCAATAAGTAATAAATCACGTTATTAAAAGACGGAACATTTTCCAAAGGAAAGTTAAAATATCTGGTAAATAACAAAAGTAATTTCAAAATAAACTTTTAGAAGAAATATTTGCTCAGTAAAGATAATTGTTAACCTTTAGTAGAGAAAAAGAGGAGGGGGCTACCAGAAGGCCCCTAAACAAAACATTCCCAACATTAGAGCATGACAAAACAAAATACAGCATTCTGAGGTTTTCCTCTGCAGTCTTTCTCGTGTCTGTAAAGCTAGCTGTGGTTGTACTGTACATGTTCTTTTGAATCCTTTCTCCACTTCAGATGCAGTTTTTTTCATGTATTATTCATAAGCATTGCTGTAATGACTTTATTGAGGAAAGTGTCGTACAGGTGTTTGGCCCACAGCTGGACTCCTTCCTAAGGCCGTCCCTACTACACAGGATACTGCCTGCTGTCACCGTCTGTGCAGTGTGCCTTGCCATATTTGTGCACACATGATGCCACCTGTGTTCCTATTTCCAAAGGCACTGATATTTTTGTGTCTTGACATGCGATGCTAAATATTTAAAGTAAGAGTGCCTGGTCAACACCCTCCTTTAAAGGAAACAAAACCACATTTAAAAGGAAGTAAATTGGGAGTATTTTGAAGTCAACACCCATTTGGATTTCAGGTTTTCTTTAAAGGAGGGGGAGAAGGAGAGGAAGAGGATGAGGTCGAGAAGCAAGTTCCTTGGAGCAAATTCCAAGTTGACTTCAGCTTTTTCCTGAGTACTTTCGCCAGCCAAACCCTGGAGTTAAGAAACCGGTTCCTGGTACTCTCCTCGTCTTGGGGTACTTAAACACCCACCGGAATCTGACCAGAGTAAATGACTGCATGACGAGATGTAGAAGAGATATGTAGAATCCAAGTATTTGGCGTTTGCTGGAAACATGGTGCGATTTTTGTTCTGTGCGTGCTCGGTTCGAGTTTCTGCAGCAGAGCTGCTCCCATGAGTTTGCTAATATTTAATGGCCTGCTTTCCAGAGCACTTCTGGGCCACTGCACTGTGGGTCCGCAAGGCCCAGGACTAATGAAGGGCTCGGTTTACTGAGGTTTTCAAGTAGGCTGTGGTCCTCAGCCCAAGACTCCTCCATGTCCGGCCAGCATGGCCTTGCTTCGGGGCACGGTTCAGGAACACTTAAGTGCTCCTGGGCCTTTTAAAGCAAATACCTTATGCAGTCGTGAAGGGGGAGCTTCTTACAGAGAAGTCTTAAAAATTCAGCTCTTTCTTGCTGAAGAGAACTTTCAGGGTAGGGAACAGGAAGACAATGAGATCAAAGGAAAGAGCATGGACAAAGCAGCAAGTCTGTGGAGGCCAATTTGCAAGCCAGGCCTCCCCTCTGAGGTTTGGGGCCGGACTCTGGCCACTAGTCACTAACTCTGGGTTGTTGTAAGATACCTGTTTACTGCTCCCTCTTCCCTTCCCTCCATTGTCTGTAGTTCCCTGCGTTTCTTTAGTGTATCTCTCTCTTTTTTTGTCAATATCATGTGATCCCATAATGAAAAATAATCGCCAGCAGTAACAACCCAATAGACAGCTGAAAACTCAAAAATCAGCCAGCTCTCTCTGCCAAGTCCCTGCACTACAGCTGTCTATTGTGAGGATGCCTTCTAAGCTCCCCCTTGGAACCTGTTTATTTCTTGTCGTAAGCCTTGCTGTGCTGAGCCAGCCCTGCAGAGGGGACCGGAAAAGAGGGAAGAAGCCAGTCGAGGTGGGCGGAAAGATGGAGGCAGCGAGAAGTGAAAGGACAGCCTGCAAAAAGCAGCCAGAAGAACCCCAAACACACTGAATTTGGTCTCTTTTAGTGTAGAGCAAATAGATCTATTCATCCTAATGACTGACCCCTGAGGTTTTCTGTCTAATACCACTCAGTAGGATAATTATACTTCTCGTTATTATTCTGGGCCCCAGGAAGGGGCAGGAGGGTGATCAAATTACATTTCTTGAAGTCTTTTCAAGAAAGCAGAAAACTGTTGTAAATCATTTAAAAATGATTGGCCTCAAAAATGATTAGTCCTCTTTTAAGGTTGTTTGCTTATCTAGGTAAACAGTTGTTCTCTGTGACAGCAAATTCCTCATTGTCTGAGGATGCTGGGGACAATAGCTGCCCAGTTTAAATGTTCTGGTCTCTTTGGAGAAAAAAATGCACCACCAGTGTAATGGCTTTGTATGATTATTTAGCGATTGTAAACATTTGTACTCTGAATATCTTTCCTTGGCCCTAGTTTCATTAAAGTTATGGAAATCAGGAAGTTCCAGCAGAAGTTTCTAAAACTCATGTGCTCTGCCATCATTCTTTTCTCCTGACGAATGTCAGTTTTCTCAAATTGAAATTATTTCAAATATAGCAATTTTCTCCCATAAAATTGCTAAATATCTGCCAGGCATTCATTCTGTCTGTCAAAAAGTAAAAAAGTTAACTGCGTTGATAAAATACAATGAAAATAAATTTAAAAGTTCACAGCATCCCTTGAATTTGAGATGCCGCTGAGAGTCCCACGTGCCCGCCTGAGGCAGTGATGGGCCCCTGGAGCACAGTAGCAGTTGATTATTACCCAGTCCCCAGTAAATCTAACCTTTCTGGCTTTTATCTTCAGGCTCTTTCAGACATTTAAAGCCAGTGAGCTGGTTTAAATATTTACTTACAAAGAAACAGGTTGTGGTTTGTTAAAGGGCATCACTACATTAAATGAATTTTAGATTAAGTATAGTTTATTTAAAAAAAAAATATATATATATATATATAAAATCCAGCAGGGCAGTTTCACAAAGTTGTGGACTTAGCGAAACCGTCCATTTGTAGCCACACAAAGGGATCGGGGATGTGTGTGTACCCATTAAGTGCGTAAGATAAATAAATGTGAGCTTGTGGAG